CTGTTAAAGTGAATTTGTGTAATAACAGTGAAGTACCTATGCGCGTGTGCATATGTATGTGTGTATGTTTGTACAAGGATTTTCAATTTAATGATGTGTGTGCGTAGCAAATGTACTTTTATGCTCGCGTTTGCTTTTTCACTGTTTGTCATTAGTCGTAAACTTCATAAGTCTTACCTGCTGTTGAAGTGGTGCTATTTAATTTTTTATTTTTTTTTGCCGTTTCAAGCAGCGAATGGGTAAATGCACCATTTTTCATTTTATTTGTGTGAAAGCCGGAAATCTAAATTTAAACACTAAATGATTTCAAGCAGCATTAAATGTGTGACAAAAACACCACTTAAGTCACAGTAAAATTCAGCGTAACCATGAAATTAATTGAGTTTTTGACATCTACGAAATCACTGCTAAATGTTAAAAAACTTTTTTGTACATTTCAAAAAAAAACATCCCTAATGGAAGGGCAAAATTGATGAGCGCAAGTTTTCCAAGAATTATTTTTCGCTGTTTAAAATTTTTTTAAAAATTTCCCATAAATTTCCCTCATGGTATTTATAACAAAATTCAGCGTAATTTAGAAAAACGTGTTTCATTGATTGCAAAATATTCACAAATTTTTTTAAAAATTTCCCAAAAAATGTCCTCCATATTTTAACTTCCGCCAATCGTTATTTAATTTTGGTCCGTAGACAATGCGGTAAACGCTCTTTCATTATCAACTTACAAAAAAATCCTAAAGGGGGCAAAAATGTGTTTAAAAGCTTGTCAAAAAAAATCACAGAAAAACTCAGATCAGTCTAAAGTTAGTTGAATTTTTCAAAGTTTAAAATTTTTTTAATTCTCAAAAATTTCACTCGCAAGATTTAGAGTAAAATGCAGCATAAGATAGAAAGGTTAAATATTTGACAGCGACACTTTTACTACAAAATAATTAGCACTTCTTAAAAAAGTTCCTACAAAAAATTATTTTGAAAAAACTCGTGAAAACTAAAGTTTGCATAAAATTTCTTAAAATTCACGTATCGCATTTCAAAAAATGTCTCGTTAAGGAAATTTTTCACGGATCCAAGATTTGTATGCCCGTTGAGTGAAATTTGGTTATTACCAAAAATTTTATTTGTTCATTTTAGTTTGCTAATTTAGGTACTTAAATGGCATATATTAAGATTTTTTTTTTCGCCAGGAAACATTATTTAGTATTTATGCATCATTCTTAATTCGATACATAACTTCGAAAAATTTCCCATTGTGCAAATTTCATTACTGTCCAAGAATTTTTTATTATAATAGTTTTCAGTAAAACGTTTTTTTCTTAAAATATTTTTCAGTAAAGTTACGTTTCGAAAATTGTTCCATGAGGTAAATTTTAATACTGTCCAACGATGTTTTATTACAATAGTAGCTTTCAAATTAAGTTTCGAAACATTTTTTACTAGAAAAAATTTATAATCAAACCGGATTATCTTTAGTTTTAAAGCACTGAAATTATTTATGTGTTTTTCCTATATCTACTTCGTTTTAGCTGCTTCCAAAAAAAAGTCCTCGAGTTCTTAGTTTCATTTCCTTTTTAATTTGTTGCATAGATTTAGATTATAATTAAACCGGGTTTTATGTAGTTTGCTCATATCCGCTTCATTTTTAGTTAGCTCCAAAAAGACATTCTCAACAGGGGAAATTTTACTTTTGAAAAAAAAATTTTTCATTGCCTTTAGGATATTAAAAAAAAATATTTTTTGTAAAGATTTAAATAAATTTTTAAGTAATTTTCTTTTTTAGTTCAAAAGTTTACATAATCAATAAAAAATTTAGCTTTTAAATTTGAGCAAGGTTTTTTAGTTTCAAAAAGGGGAATTTCATTATTGCCCATGATATTTTTTAACGACTGATAGAAATTTTTTTCTAAAACAGCTTGTAAAAGTGTTGAAAATATACATATATTTTGAACTTCTGCGTCGTTTTTAATTATTTTCAAAAAATTTCCCGTCTAGGAAATTTTATTATACCTAAGTATTTCTTTATTTGAATATCCTACATCTATGAAAATGTTCTTTTGTAACTATTACGTCGCCTAAACTTATTTTAAAAAAAATTTCCTTTGAGGGACAATTTAATTTGTTCGGCTTTTATGAATCTTAAAAACATTGATTCTTATTGCTCATACATAAACTACTAACCATTCACGATAAGCGCACAAAAGTGGAAGTTTTAAGCAGAAAATATGAAATTCTCAAAAGTAAATTCATCATTTGCTATTACACCTATTTTGTTGTTAGTCTTTTGGCAGCATCTCATCCGCTTTGCATTTATTCTTGCTAGGCACAATATGCTTTTAGAATACGCAGTGGATTTAAAAGTCTTTTTACAAATATACATATGTACGTATATTAAATACCCACATATTTGTATACATTTCTAAGTGCACATGTACTCACATCCGTCTATTTAATAAAGAGTTTCATAGAACTTCAAAACTATTTGAACTCTCCAACGAACAGCGGCGACTCACTGCGATGCACTGCACCTCTGTGCTTAGTTATGTTCACACACTTGATCTTATATGCATGCATTTTTTCCTGCATGGGTCCTCCAAGAAATTACTTATGAAAATAGTTTGTGCCACGTTGCTGTCAACTTGCCACAACCGCTAAGTTTTCTTTCAACCAAACTTTTCCAAGTTAATATACATAGAAGTACAACATAGTACTACTTTCCTGCGTTGATTTTTCAAAGATTTGCTTTAGTGAATTGCTTTTCCATAACGGCTGGTGCTTCGTTAGCTTTTGTGATTAACTATTTGCCAACCGGAAGGGTTACCAACTTGAAAAGAAAGTGTGCTGTGTAAATGTGCATACGTGTGTGTGTGTAAATTCTCAGGATGTCCAAATAACTCCGCTGTTAGCCANACGTGTGTGTGTGTAAATTCTCAGGATGTCCAAATAACTCCGCTGTTAGCTGTGATGATGGCGATGCTGATGATGATGTGGCAAATTTTCCAACTCGGCAAGTTGCATAAATATATGTATGGCAAATATGTAGCTTTTTATATTCATAGAAAATCAAAATAGAACTGAAATTTGTCAAATATTTTCGAGGGAATTCGGTATGTTGTACGTGTGAAGAAATTATTCGAAAATTATAAGCGGAATTGAAGCGAACTAAGCCAGTTCCTTTATAGGTTGGGCCTGAAGCAAAAATTCTTTTATTTACCTCTTTGCGCAAACTCAAAATGCTAAAAAGTTTCAACTGTTTGTAATCTTCATAAGAAATTTTTCTTCAAACCAAGCAGAGTCAAACTTTTGTAATTAAACGTGCTGCACAATAAAGAATTGTTTTAAGTTTTTCGCTTCCCTCAAGGGGAATTTTCAGGAAATTCACAAAAAGTATAATTTCTCCAATAATTAAGAAGATATGTTGGAATCGTAAATGTTTTTAAATTTCCTTCTTAGAAATTTTTTAACTTAGGTAAAATTTACATCTTCTTATAACTACATACATACGCTGCTATAAAAATTCTTTGTATTGTTTATGTGTTTTCAAGTTTTCTTTGAGGGGAAATTGTTTATTAAATTTAAGTTTTTATATCTTTATAAAACAAAATTTGTTTTGATAAGATTCTCTCTAAAAATACTTATTTCCTTGTAACCTTTTGTGAAAAATATTACTTAATCATTATTTTAGCTAAATGTGTGTGTATATAAAATTTTATTTTCCAAATTCTTTATTGGAAAAGTTTACTTTTGAGAGAAATTTTTAAAATCAAAATTTTTATAACTTACGCTTATTTACGTTTGGTACATTGGAAAATACTATTCTAAAAAATTTCCCTCGGAGGGAAATTTTCTAAAAAAGACAGAAACGCCTTTCGGCAAGCTTTTCTGTTTTGGCGCAAGCTTAAGAAGAGTGTTCGCCACGGAAATTTCATTACTTTGGCCATAAATGCAATAATATTTTTGTTATAGATTTTTTAATTTAAACCTCCCATCTGCATAGGATCTTAGACCACAAAACTGGTGTATTTTAAGATTTGTATAACTAAATAAGCGTTTGTTACATTGAAAATACTATTCTAAAAAAAAGTTCCCTCGAAGGGAAATCTTCTTAAAAGACAGAAACGACTTTCGGCGAACTTGTCTGTTTTGGCACAAGCTTAAGGAGAGTTTTCGATACGGAAATTTCATTACTTTGGCCATAAATGCAATAAGATTTTTTTATAGATCTTTTAATTTAAACTTCTCATCTGCATAGGATCTTAGACCAGTAAACGACGATATTATATATATTTTTTTCAAAACAAACTGCTAATTTCGAAAGCTTCTTTCTGTTAGAAAATTACCCTCAAAGGGAAATTCAGTATTTCGTAAGTTTTAAGAAGCTTATTGTAAATTGAAAGATTACTTGCAAAACCTTCAGTCCAAAGAAAATTTTCTAACAACAAATTAGAAATGGCTTTCGCGAAGCTTTCTTTTGAATTCGCCTCTTTTTAAATAATTTTAAAAATTTTCGTATATTTCATTATAGTCCAATATGCAATATTCCAATTTTTGTGAAACACTTCTATTTTGTGCAACATCAAAAAATTTCCCTTCGAGGGAAATTTTATAAAAATAAGGCAAACACATTTCTATAGCTATATACGTATTCTGTGTGATGTAAAAGAGCATCTATTAAAATTTCCCTAACAGGTAATTTTTTTATTATTGAAGAAACCTTTAGTTTTGCAGTAGATCATAATCGTGGCTATATTTCAATAGATTGAGTAACAGGATGTTAATAAAATCTATCTCTAATCATATATAAAATACTGTACAGTTTACGAAACGGAGTTGCACAAAGACTACTTTCTTATTTATATCTTTTTAACAAGAAATTTAAATACATATTTTTTGTTGCTGCCTAGGTTACTCATACGCACCGGCATCACTTGCATGTTAACCAAATAAATGCATACAAACATACATAGGTAATTATTAATTTTTTTAATTTCGCTTGTCTCTTTTCAGACTGAATCCATCAAACATGATCTCGAAACGAAAATGTATCAACACAAACTCGAGCAACAAATCGAAAAAGTACAATACAATCAAACAGCAGTTATGCTGCTAATCGACACGTGTCAATTGGTGAGAGAGAATACCTCACGTGCTGTCACCAGTCTCGATAATATGGTGTTGTATTTCATGAAAACGAAAGGCAGCGAAAACGATACGTCACTTATGGGATTATTATATGTAAGTTGGAGCAAATTTCTTTAAAATATTTCATTAATGTGCGAATCGGGAAATTACAGACATTAATTTTTATTGCACATATTTAATTGAAGTAAAAACACACGAGACTCAAAAATGAGAGATCAGTTTCAAGGCTGGAAAAGTCTATATTTTCCAGTTTTTTTGGGAAATTTTCAGTTTACAAATACCGCTGCTAAGATGGTAGCTTAAACTTCCAAAAACTGCAATATAACTATTTGTACGTACAAAAAACTTTTTTTCGTTCATTGCATACAAATCTTGGATGCACCTTCACTTCAACTTAAGCTTCTCTATGAATACAATTTTAGACTTCATCTCATTTTACTAAATTCAACTTTCCACCAACTCTACTTCAAAATTTAAATACTCATACATTTTTCTCCACTCTCTAACTACATTCTTTTTTTCAGCTCGGCGAACTATACGAATCAATTCGTTGGCCCGTAACCCTCGGCTTCCTCACACTACTCCTGCTACTCTGCACCATACTGGTGATTGGTGTAGCGCGTCGTTCGCGTTGTGCTCTCATCTTCTTCAGCGTATCCGGTTTATTTTGTATTATCATTTGTTGGCTGCTGGCTGGCATTTACCTGGCATCCTCGGTGGCAGCGGGTGATTTCTGTATGCGTCCGCATGAGTTTATGTGCCGGCAAGTGGGCATGGTAAGTTTATAAACTAAACCAAATATATGTAAATAAAACAAAAGCAAAAAGCGAAGCTAAAATTGCTAAAAATAGTATAAAATAAAATAACACTAGAAAAATAAGTATTTATTGCGCTCGTAGCAGCATGGCGCAGAAAAATAACAACAAGCTTAGCTTTGAAAAATGATTTCCGTGAAAATATTTACAGCGCTATAGTATAGCATAATGCCATTTTGTGCCTGAAAGTGTGCTGAAATTTTGATGAGCGAGGGCAAGTGGCGCCGCTCATGACTCTTCAGCGACTGACGGGCTATTCATGGCAGTGAACATTTTTATTTGTGGGTGCTTGTGGAGCACTGTGTTTGCTTATGGCGTGCATAGCACCGCGAATGTGTTTGTGTGCGCGCTGGAGAGTTATGCATATCAAATGACCCTAATCGCATGCTTCACTCTATTGTACACCGGTGGGCGCACAGTGCGGTTGTGCGGCTAAAATTGTGGTATAATTAAAATCCTGAAAAAAATATCTTAAATGTGGTCTTATATTCAAAATCAAAAACCTAACAACAGCCAGGAACCATTAGTCTTCTCAACCCACATATGAGCTCTTACATGCGATAAATACTGTAACGACAAGTATATCGTTTCCAGCGCCACCTTTCGATCCAAATTTTTGATATCTACAAAAAGTACGCTATATTCCGATCGGATAAATTATTTTCCACAAGCGAGAGCTCTGCTAAATTTATTTCGTTAATTCGGGAGATTAGCGCGTCCAAAGAGATAAACGAAAAATTCATTTATTTTTCAATTACATAGTTAGCGCCAAATTTACCTGCAAGAAATATATCCGACATATAAAGTAGTGTATGTTCTTCTCAGGGCATTATTTTATCTACAAAGAAAGCCCTTCTGAATTTATTTAAGCCATATCAGAGAGTAGCGCTGGCAAACATAAAAAATTATTTTATGTCACACTTACTTTGTTACATACTATCCTCCAAATGCTTTATAAATCGAAATTTTCCAAGAAAATGTCACTTTATAAAGTTCTTGTAACTAATTAAATTTTTATGAATGAGGCCATATAAGTTTAAACAAAGTTTTTACGTCTAAAAATTGCAATTGCATTGCAGTTTTTTTCATAAGTATATTTTACTAGAACGCCCTCACCCGCTTCGATGAATGTATGTAATTTATACGTGCTACATTGAGTAAAATTTATTTCAAGAAAACTCAATTAAAAAACAGGAGGTTTAAAATTTGTTTAACGATCTTCAAAATATTTTCAAACTAAAACTTTCTTAAACTTCACACTTGTCATACTTTGTCAATTAACTTATTCCCTGAACTCAATTTGAGATTTTAAACGGATGGAAACCTCTTACATGTAGTTTTGAAATGAAACCCTTTAAAAATCATTTAGATTGATACCCATATTGTATTTAATAATTCATTTAAATTATTGAATAGTTTGAATTTAAGCTTTTAAACAGTTGACAACCATTTTAAACCTCTTTCGTCTGACACTCATATTGTGGTACATATTCAAAACCATTTCGATTCATACCAATCTTCTATAACACTACATATTTTGAAAGCCGATTTTTATGTGTTCGCAAAGCTCGAGAACGGTCGAACCGATTTTTTTTAAATTTTGGACATCTGCTTCAGACGTCCCTAGGATGGTTATAGGCTAAAAAAAATTCGATATATAAAGAAGGCGTGGCACCTCCCATTAAAACCGATTTGTTCATACTGCATTTCTCTGGAAGTGTTCATGGTAGAATATTGGAACTTGGTACGGCGATATATGAAATCAATCTTATACTCATGGAGAAAAATGGGCTATTTGTGGGTGAAATCCTCCTAAATTCCCGGACCGATTTTAACGAAGTTTTTTGTGTGCTTTTGAGTGGCTCTCTGGGTAGTGTAGTTTCACGTTGTAGCTCTTACATTTTTGCAGTCTGCAAGGTTTAGGTCAGGCTAAAAGGACATCCCACAGAAAGCCAGCAAATTCATACCCGAATTTCCTTTGCTTTCCAGCGTTGATTAATCATTATCCACTTAAGAGTCCATTTTAAGTCAAGAAAACTATCATTATCCGTTAGAATTGTGGAGATCCCCTCATGGATTTTATTTAAAAAACAGGACTGGTATTCAAAATTAAGTAGGCACACTAAAAGAGAAGAAGCCTATTCAAAAGGTACAGAAATTTCACTCTCCAAAGTCTCTAAATGTAGAAAATCTCTGAATATCTAAAAGTATGCAACACCTCAAACAAATAAGAACAGCATTCCCATAATGATTTTATGTAGTCCTCATCCGCTTTTATGTTGCATACTTTTCGGCATATATTTTATACAGTTAGACCTATTTGGCTATTGAAGTTTAGCTTAGCGATTTGTAGTATCCCACTGCTGCCCCCATTAAACACCAACAATTTATTGCAATTAATTTGTAAATTTGTTAGTTGTGGAACTTTTGAGCATTATATTTTAGGGCGAATATCTTATTGAATTCGAAAATCTTTGCATCCTTTTTCTTAGCCTAGTAGATCTCAGCACTTCTTTTGCACTTTTCTACAGCCAGCACCCACTGTATGCGCCTGTGAGCTAGCTAACTAGCATGCTTTACGGGTGTTAGAGTTTCCATGAAGCACACCCCGGTGTGCTATCAACAGCCTGCGCGTCTACAACTCCCTCACAATGGCCACTTGTGTGCAACGAATGAAGGAACGAACGAACCGCGACCACATTTACCGGATGTTTGTTTATTTAGTTGCTTTTTGGACGATGCTTTTTGTTGCTGTGGCATTGTGTGCCAGCTTTATTTTTATTTAGATGATATATTTTGTATTTTGATTTAGTTGTTGTTGGTTTTGTTGTCGTAGCATTTTTACTACAACGCTCAACAGTTTATTTTGTGGCATATTTAATGTGGGCTGACAAGTGTATTTGTACCTAACTTTTTTGCAGTTATGGAGAAGAGGTATAAAAATGGTATTTATATATGTATGTATATAGTACATACACTAAATACACATACATAGACATATATGCATGTATAAGTAGCCATATTCGGCGCCATAACTGCATGGGTAAGCATGTATATTGTCGTGCTTTGCCAACTAAACTATTTGAGATAACAATGCCGGCTAGCTTACATGTAGGCTACAAATATGTATGTATATACCTACATAGAGGCCGTTTCTCGCCCGCACCAATCGCTAGCAATCAACGACTGCTGCAGTTCCATTAAATAAATGTGGCTTTTATGAGGTCATTTGCTTGTGTTTGGCCTTTATTACAAAGAACCGCCTTTGCTATTTGTGGCAAACCGTGGCCAGAGTTGAAAGCAGAGGCAGCAGCTTAAAACATGGAGAGATTTCACTCATTGGAGTGGGTTAAATGGCCTATTTTTACACGTTCAGCGCTTGTTGCTTACAAGTATTCGCTATGGCTGTTGTTTTTATTTTTGTCGCTTTTGTAAGAGTCCAACAACCCTACGCTGACAAAGTAAACAATGCAAAACTAATAGCCTACCTCAAGGCACGCAGCTAACTTGTCGCCTAAAAGTAGATATGTTTTCATGCTACATTCACTCCACTTAAGCGCGCACTTTAACAATATCCGCTTGTATTGTAATAAGGATTTTGTCTTCGCTTTGATTTGACCGACTTCATTACTACTCTTCCGCTACTGCCGCCGCTTTTCTCGTGTTATCTACTTGCTTACGCAGTCGTAAAATTTTACTGCCGCTTGATAAGTGTCCGTTATTGGCGCATACACTAATCTATTACAAGAAACAAAAAAAACAAAAAAACATAAGGACACAAAATGCGGATAGCAATAAACAAAAACACGAAGGAGACAAACAACGCGGCACTCAGTTTTGCTTTCATTTAGAAAAATTAAAAAAGCAAACCAGAAAATGTTAGAATAAAAACGTAAAAACCGTGGCGCCTGGAACTTTGGCAGTGCATTAGTTTTATGTACTCTCTCGAAAAGTGCTTGCAGTGCTTAACAGTTGACACAGTTTGCAGCTTCGTTGAACTTTATTTAGCATGCCAAAGGAGTTGCAGAAATATTGTCTGAAAACAAAATATTTTTTCTATAAACTAGGCAGTATTACGTGCTTTAAATTTAATTTTTGATATTATGCTCAAAAGTTTATTAGGAAGCAAAATTAAGAGATATTCACATTTTTTAAAGAAAAGTTTTAAAGGGAAATAATTTTTTGAAGGGAAATAGTTTTGTGCAAGTGAAAGATTGAAGATTTTTTTATTTACATTCTTATTTAAATTTGAACTAAGATTTTATTTTCAAAAAAATCTTTTTTTTGGCTTTGAGGAAATTTTTTTTATTTACTACTTTTCGCATTATAAACCAAAATATATTCAAAAAGGTAGAAGTGAACCAAAAGTGAAACCTGTTTGTTGCTGACAATATCTAGTGTTAAAAACTAACAAAAATTTTTCAAAACGATTTGAAATAGATATGTTTTTCTGTTTGACATTTTAATCGCATTCCAAAAGAGAGAACTGTAAAAATCACTTCTACCGTGTTTATTGTTTTTTGAATTGGAAAAATTTGAAAGGAAAATGTTTTTGACTTATAGCCGGTTTCACGATAACAATTTAAGTAAAAAATAACTTTTTTTATTTAAGTTTAATATGAAAACTGACAGAAGAGAAAAAAATCTTTTTTTTTAATAAATTGCTGGTGATTATAGCCAGTTTCACGAAAGCAAATTAAGTGAAAAATAATTTTTTTATTTGAATTTAATATGGAAATTGACCGCAAAAAAGTCATTTTTCTTTTAATTTTAAATTGATTTCGTGGAACCGGCGGGTAGTGTCTAAATTAAAAAGAAAAAATGTATTTTCTTTTTATTTTTGAAATTAATTTTTTGGATTACAAACCATTTGTTTTTTTTTTTTGAAGGGCAACAAATTTTATGACAAGGGAACTTATTTTAGAACGAGTTTTCGTCAACCTTGGAGACAAACCAATTTC